TATTGATATGCGTGACCATTAATGGGTTTAGTTACAATGAAAGTAGCTAATGTCGCTTTGATCCTATGTTGATATGATTGATGGATTGGATTGTTTGAGGATGCATTCAGTAATGATAGCAAAATTCTGAGTACTCATAAGGTTATATTTAATTCGCAATTAAAAGGCGACACATATGGCCCAAGTGGGAAATTATAAGGAATTTTTAGATCGATCGTGTGGGTTTATATGTGTGAATAATTGTGTATTAAATTAAAGGCTATCGAATTCGATTGAGCCCAATTAAAGTGATCTAATAAGACTTCAATTTTGGGCTTTAATATATCCAATTAAAGTGTGGGTTCTATATGTGTAGAGACCGGACCCAAGTCCTAATTCTATGGTGGGCCGAATTAGGTCAAAGGGCATCGCTATATAAATACAGTTATAGTCTCCAAATCACACGTATCTTTTGCTCATTATATTCTGTCTCCCATCGCCAAAGAGAATTACGGGCCGCGTGTAGATTTGGAAGACTATACCGCATGATTCAATTATTGCAAATAACCATGTTTGATTCAGGTACGCTTGCGCTATAATTTATGTATTTTTTGATGATTTAACATGAAAGATCCGATTATTTAAGATGATAAATTATTCTACAGGAAGTACCACTCATGCAGGACCTACTTCATTAAAAATGACCCCCCAAATATTCAACCCTCCCTCTCCATGAGTAATCTATAAGAAACCTATAAGAGCTCACTTTGTACGCTAAGCATAATTGTGGCTAATTTTCATTGATAGTTGGGAAAAAAAATAGCAGTCAGATATGTTCTTCCATCTCAACACTTGTAAATTTCTTTGTCAACAGCCCCTAATAATGCTACTTGTACATCATAGAATTACATAATGATTGAGGTGTCAAAAACAGAGTGAAAGTTTTCCTCTCTTTTTTTTATTTGGTTGAAGATATTCTGATCCATTGACTAGAGTGTTTTACTTACGAGTTGTAAATAGCAGTCACATATGTGCTTCCATCTCAACACTCGTAAATTTCCTTGTTAATAGCCCCTAATAATGCTACTTGTATATCATAGAATTACATAATGATTTACATGAGGTGTCAAAAATAGAGTGAAATTTTTCCTTTTTTTTTATTTGGTTGAAGATATTCTGATCCATTGGCTAGTGTGTTTTACTTACGAGTTTTATTCCACTTTTAACTTGATTATGAGTTAGATTTTTATGAATACTGAATGTTTTTAATGTGTCTATTAATGTTAATTTGTAGGATTGATGAGAAAGTGTAAATCATGGAAAGAATGAGAAAACAAGTTTATTGGCATGGATTGAGGAGAAAAGAAGAAGGAAAGGAACAAAAGAAATAAATTTCGACATTAAGAAAAGAAAGAGGTGGTGCCTGTTTTAGCGTCGAGGCGCCACAAACCAGCCAAGACAGTAGTATAACGTCGTGGTGCCACTACATATATTGATGTAGCGCCGCTTTCAAGCATTGAGGCGTTGCCCAATAACTCCTAGGGTACGTTTTTTGGTTTATTTTGAGTCCATAGAAACCCTACAACAGCCAAAAATGTGGGAAGAGCTATAAATACAATAAAGGAGGCAATTGAAGGGAGTTTCGTACATTGAAATATACAATAACACAATTTGAAATTGAGAGAGCAAAATCCAAAGAAAAAAACAATAAATTAAGAGTTAGGGTTTGGACTCAAAATTTGAGGCAAGAAGAAGAATTTGGTGCGAGATTCATCAACTTCTCCCAATATTCATTCTAAATCCGATAATGTACTTCATTATTATTAATTACTTTTCTTCATCTATCATAAATAGGAAATAGCTAAGATTTATATTAGAGCAAACAATGTAATCTAATCGAGGCTCTTTATTTATTTTATTTAAGATTTTAGTTCTTTCATTATTTATGCGTTAATTTTAGTCATGTATTTAATGCTTTGAATTACTTGATCATTTATTCAATGATTTTGTGAATTTATTAAGAATTGAGAAGTGAGTTTTAGATTTAAATCATATATTAAAATTCGGTAAATTAGTATAATGTGTAGAGATACTTATACTAATTATTGTGGTAGTTATATAAATTTTTAGAACTAATATTTCATTCATCTAAAATTGTTTCGTATAAAGTTATGTGATTGAATTAGTTAAATAGGCTCAATGAAAATTTGAGAGGGGTAAATTGAATGAATAGAAGAATTCAATCGAATACTATATTAGATTTGTGAATCATGAATTACGATTTAAATTGTTATGCCGTAATATCTCATTTCATATTTAAATTCTAGACTATCTTTATATGCATCCAGCCATTTCGAAGTATTTGGATAAAAAATCACAATAATTCACAATTTTTTCATTTGTTTTTGTCAAATAGTAGTTAAAAAATATTAAATTAGACATTAAAGTATGGTTATCGTAGGAATGATAAATCGGACTTAAATGTCCATTATATTACTTATTACGATATTGTACACTTGCGATAGAAAAAATACAGACCGGATAAATCTTTATATAAACAATTATGCATATGTAACACAACAATCAGATTAGCCCTGATTGCTAACACAAATCTAAATTAGTCCAATTACGTGTAAGAATCAAAATTCCAAATTCGTTTCGTTTCCAAATTCCATCTCTCCACTTATATGCCCAATTATTCCATTTCTATATACATGAATCGTACAAATCATTCCAATTTCTTTAAACTGGTAGCCCCTTTTAACATTTGGGGTTCATTTGATTGTAAAGATGGAATTGAATTGGGTGGAAAACGAATTCCAGGAAATTGAATTACCTAGAATTGTTTTCCTGAGAATTGTAAATTATTGTGTTTGACTGATATAATTTTCGATGTGGAAAATATTGAAATAAAAGTATTTTTTGATGTTCTTTTGACTTTATTTTACATGAAAATTGTCAATTAAAAGGATAGAATTTATTGGTATTAGGGATGACATTGGTTTCCATCGCCAAAAAGCAAAAAAAAATTCAAAAAAATTATCTATTTTTTAGTGTTCGTTTGATTTTGTTTTACATGAAAATTATATTGAAATAAAAGTATTTTTTATGTTCGTTTGACTTTGTTTTACATGAAAATTATCAATTAAAATGATAGAATTTACTGGTATTGGGGATGACATTAGTTTCCATCGCCAAAAAGCAATAATAATAATAATAATAAATTCAAGAAAATCATATATTTTTTAGTGTTCGTTTGACTTTGTTTTACATGAAAATTATCAATGAAAGCGAAATATTTTTTTACAATAATTCTTAAAATTGATTTCCATTACCTTTTAAAGAAAAAAAAAGGAAAAAAAATCACTACAGTAGTCGGGTCCAATTCTCACCATATATATGGTGAGAATTGGAATTCCACCAAATCAAGGAATAGCACAACTTCCAATAAAAGTTAGAAACCAATTCCATGAAAAATCTTGTGAATCAAACATTTTCCACCCATTTTCATGAAATTGGATCAATCAAACACACCCTTAGGGTTCGTTTCATTGTAAAGATGAAATTGAATTGAATTGAAAATAAATTTTAGGGAATTGAATTGTCTAGAAATTATTTTCCTGATGATTGTAAATTATTGTGTTTGATGGAGATAATTTTTCATGTGAAAAATGTTAAAATAAAAGTGTTTTTTGATCTCCGTTTGGCTTTGTTTTATATGAAAATTGTCAATTAAAGAGATATATTTTACTAGTATTAGGAATGGAATTTGTTTCCATTGCTAACAAAAAAAAAATCAAGAAAATCATTTATCTTTTGATATTCGTTTGACTTTGTTTTACATGAAAATTACCATTTAAAAGAAAATATTTTTTTACAATAATTCTTAAAATTTGTTTCCATTGTCAACAAAAAAATAAAATAAAAATAAAGTGATACAGTAACCGAGAATTCCAATTCTCACCAAATGGTGAGAATTGGAATTCAAGGAAAACCAAGAAAAGTCTGAATTTCAAGACAACCAAGAAAGAGAATTTCATGGAAAAAAAAAATCTATCAAACATGACAAAAAGTGGAAGTTGGAAAGTGAATTCCATTTTCCATGGAATTTGAAGGCCTATCAAACGGACCCTTAGTTCATTAGAACATCTTAAAGAGTCTCTATGTTTTTTAAGAGCATTTATAAATTTAGAGAGTTAAAATTTTGAATACATCATCAAATTCTTTATATATAGGACAATGTTATACTAATCATAAATTTTTTATCAAATCTTTTATCTACTATTTACAACAAGGGTGAGGATCACATGTTGGGCATTTTTAAATTTATGCGGAGCCCGCATGCATTGTGAGACGGGTACATATAGAATAATCCTTATATTTAACACTTAATTTACTACTCCCAAAAAATATTTATTATTTTTTTCTATATTTTATTTTAACTAATTTTTCTTTAAATTATTTTATTATTTCCGTATGTTAGAAATTGATTGCATTTAATTACCAAGGGCAGTTCTATCTAAATTAAAATGTTAATTTAAAAAAAATTTTTGAACATAATTTTAAAGGTTCACTATTCAAAATAAGCCCTTGTTTGAATCCAATTATTTATTTATTTATTTATTTATCAAAATCAAAATACATTCTTCAATAAAAATTTCACCCATTTCAAGAACACAGTTTTTCAATAAAATAATATGGGTCTGTTTGAGCCACATTATTTCAAAAAAATGCATTCTTAAACAGTGATTTGACATCATTTCAACCACACATTCTTCAATAAAATAATATTACACGCAAATCAAAAATTTTTCCTTATTTTTTAACCACATATTTCTCATCAATACACTATTCAAGAATGCATTATAATCAAAATATGTGGCTCAAACGCCCTCTATAACACATAAATCTAAATTTTTTTCTTATTTTTTAACTATACTTTCTACTCTATGACACTATTGCGAAATAATCTTTTATTTATTTAATTTTTTTGCGTGGGGCGGCGAGGGGGGCTCGGGGAGCATATGTTTAAGGAGTGCTTTAATAGTCCAATCACAACATCAAATTTTCAATTCCGTAGACTCTTTTTCTTCTTTCGTAAGTTTGAAAGAAACCCAATTGCGTGAATCTCTGTTTTGGTTGTTTTCTTTACGCAATGTACATGATATGTGCGCGAATTTTGTATTCCTGTGAGTGCGAGTTTTGATTCGTGATGTTGTTCAGGTGTTTGAAATTTGCAGGGAGAAAGCCAAATTTGAGCATTGCCATGGCGAAGAGTTCGTTCAAGATACAACATCCATTGGGTTAGTTCCTTTATCTATTAATAGCAATTTCGATAGAAATTTTATAAAAACGTTTTCAATGAATTGATTTGCTTGTTGGGGAAGAGTTCGAGTGGTATAATTGTTATGAAAATTTGGGGAAATAATTTATTTTTCTGGGTGTTCCTGTTTGTATTTTCATTTTGGTGTCTGCGGGTGAAATTATGCAAGCCCATTTGTTTTCTATTTGATATATGATAGGGAATATGGTGTTATGATTTGTGTGGTTGATGGCTGTGCTGAAATTACTAATTGTTCTTGGAGTTTTTGTAATGACTCGGGTCTTGTACCCAAGCCATTAGCTTATGTACCGTACGCTTTGGGTGGGCCTTGCGCCCACTTACCTCTCACGACTTTGTGTCGCGTCTCCCAAGATTAGAACTCGTAACCTTTCCTTAAATAAGAATTAAGTTGAATTCTAGTAGCCCCCAGGCACATCTCCAAGTGGTAAAAGGGGAGGGTGGAGAAATTCAGCTTTGCTTGAGGCTGCCGCGTCAAGGGTTCGAATCCTGAAATATGGATTTGGCTCTTGGGTAAGTGCAAGTGTACAAGCAGCCTTCCACCCTGTATCCTTGGAGGCATAACCTGCGATTTACCTCCCTCACGATGCTCCAGGACAGGGGCGGTGGGAGACCCTCAAAGTTGGGGTTCAACCTTTTTTTTTTTAAGTTGAATTCTAGTAGTATCAATCAGAGCCGGACCTAATGGAAGAGTCCTCTGCCTCAGGCCCAGAATTTTGGGGGCCCATTTTTTACTTTTTACCCCCCCTTTTTTTTAAAGCAACTATGCCCATGTGTTCAAAATAAACGAATAAATACTTTAATGAAAAGAGAAGGAAGGAACATTAAAAAATTTATTTGTTGTTTTATTGTTGATTTAAGTTAACAAATTTAATTCCATAAACTTCTAATTTTTTATTTTATTTTTTTAAAAAATGAATTGTTAGCTACGACTTAGGGCTTAGGGCCTAAATTTCGAAGTTCACCTCAGGCCCCGCGAAGTACAGGTACGGCCCTGGTACCAATTGAGCGCTTTTTTTGTAACGACCCGGGTCTTACTTAAGGAAAAGGTTATGAGTTCGAATTTTGGAGGACGCGACAGAAAGTAGTGAGGGGTAAATGGGCGCAAGACCCACCCAAAGTAGACAGTACGTAAGCTAACAGATTGGTTCGTTACAGTTTTGGTGCATGAATTTTTTTCCGTTGGTTCTTATTTCGTGGTTGAATTATGTAAGGATGGTGTGCATTGTTCTTGGCCGTGTGATTGTGAGTTGAATGGCAAATGGTTATAGAATTTGGGATATCTGATTGAAAAAAGGATGGATCTTTTTGAATTTGACAAATTTGATTTAATCTCATAGGGGTGGTACTGTTTCATTGAGTTTCAAAGGGAGTCGCGAGTCCTAATTAGCTGAAAGGACAATTATATCTTGATTCACTTCAAATCTATCCCAGTGATGGTTCATGGTTATGACTAAGTTTTGAAGTTTGGGGGATTAGTAGTTCGCTAAATAACCTAATATTCGTGCTGTTCCTAACTATCTGTTATGAGGGAAAAGTGTAGTAAGTGCCGTGCTATAAAAGCATATTCTTTTGAGATGCATTATCTTACCTGTATGTGTGGATTAATTGCAAACTTGCAATAAATTTTAACCCCATCCTGTTCCACGAATCTCAAGTTTGCTTCCTCTTTTGTATTTGAAAATAAGAAGATTGTGCATATTGTTCTTTTTTATCTGCTCTAGTTTCAACATTTGTGTAGAATACAAGAATGTGAATAAGACATTATTGCATCTCCAATGCAACAATATGAGTTTACATGTGGCAAGCAAACTGGGAATAGAGAGAAGATCATCTCCAATGGGGATGTGGATTACACTAATTGTGGGCCACATACATGAGAGATAGGATGTAGAGAAAGAGTGGAGATTTTTTTTTTTTTTTAAATGAAAACGTAGTCCAATGAAGTTAAATTATAAAAAATTAAGCGCACCTTCCATTGGTGGATGGCATGCTGGAAATCACATCCTCCACCTTTCCCCTGCCATATAAGCATTTTGGGCGATGTGGAAAACCTTTTGTTGCAATCCATAGCCTTATTGGAGATGCTCTGAGAGCTCTTTTTCTGCAACATTCTGAGTTTAAGTCAGCTTTACCAAAATTGCCGTCGTTTGGGAATATGAAGTGGTCCTTTGAAAGCTTACCAACTCCTGTTATACAAATTTCCTTGATGTTCGAAGATCGAATTAGCTTCAGGATTAGGTTCCATTGCCAATGGAACCAGTCATGCATTGCATTTGTGGGGGGTGCCAATCCAGCAATCCCTGCTTGGATGTGATCTAGCACGAAGGCATTCAGTACAACATATCATGGATGTCATATTTCTTAGCTTTTCTGGGTTAAAATATACGGTATGTCGTGTGTTGTTTCACCTAATACTAACTTAAAATATGAATCTGCTCCTCATAGTTGTGCATAATGAATGATCTGAATTGGCTTACTTAACAAGTTAGCTCTTGGAGGGTGACTGAACATGCTATCTTGGCATTTCGTGTTTCACTTTTGATTTGTTTGAGCTAACCAATATAATTTGGTCGATGCTATGAATGATAAACCAACATGAACTTGGAACTTTGCAGTCTCATAGCCTCGACCTTGGTTCTTTATGCCACAAGACCTAGGCCTCCTTGGTCATTGGGTTTTGAATATTGCATCTACTGTTTTTACACTGTTAGCAGTTTCTTTTACAAGATTTTAATTGTAGAGCTTTATTTGTTCCCGAATTTCTCATGCTTGTATTATGACATTCTGTTTTTCGTAATGACAGAGAAGAGGCAGGCAGAATCTACTCGCATCAGAGAGAAGTATCCCGATAGAATACCAGTAAGAGCTTTTTGCTCTTTTCCAAAGAATTTAACACACTCCATTTGAGGCTAAAATTTCTATACTGCTTGCAGTACTTATGCTTTTACATTATACTCATTCAGGTTGTTGTTGAAAAGGCAGATAGGAGTGATGTTCCTGATATTGATAAAAAGAAGTAAGTTGCATTAGCCTTTACTATAGTTTTGAAAACTCCTGTTAAACGTTTATCGCTGGTATGTCTGAAGTGTTCATAAATGGTTTAAATTATAAAGATAGAAATGAGTAGTCGACAAGTGGATAGTGCTTTTGGATCCTAAAAATGTGTGGATAAAAAATGGCTTAAGTATTTATAGATATATTGTTTATAACATGAGCCAAACATTAGTCTATTGTAGCGTTGAGTGCCAATAAAGTTTTTATCTTGTCGTGACTAACAAATTTGAGTGTCGAATAATTGGGATTAGCTTTTCTTGGTGTGAATGCGTGCATAACTCTACGTTGTGTGCAGGTATCTCGTCCCTGCTGATTTGAACGTTGGCCAATTTGTTTATGTGGTCCGGAAGCGTATAAAGCTCAGTGCAGAGAAAGCTATATTTATCTTCGTCGAGAACATCCTGCCTCCCTCTGGTGAGTAGAATTTCGTATTTTGAACTTTCTCATTCTACTTTAAATAATTTCGTGATATTGATACATCTTTGTGCTCACAGCTTCATTGATGTCGAAAATTTATGAGGAACATAAGGATGAGGACGGGTTTCTTTACGTGACTTACAGTGGCGAGAATACATTTGGATCATCAGAATTTCACTAGCAGACAAATTTCGTGTACATTCTTAGCATCAATTACTTTTTATCAATCTGGACATATTTACTCGTGGGATGATCGATGATATCTAAATCATTAGCAATATAATGTGAATATCTCAGTATTTTCAATACTTCGGCTGTTTGGCCATCGAAGATTCATCAACTAGTTTTTATTTTTATATTTATTTTTTTTTAATTCTATTTCGGCCTATGAAAGTTTTAATGGCCCAACCTCTATAATTTTCCACTGTAGATCAATGATTTTAAGCTAAATTACTGTTTAGGTATTTAAATAATCGTTTATATAATTGATTCATGCAATTAAAAAGTTGTAAAGATGAGCAAGTTAGATTAAAGAAGCCAAAGATGGCTAATGGAGATTCTTTTGTTGAAAAGGACCCTTTATGATTACCTCACCAAATTTTCTGCCATGCATTACTTCGTTTGAAAGGTATATTCTTCTCATGGAAAATAATGCACAAACTTGAATACAATGTTTTGATCCATTGACGATAATATTTTATACGTTGAATTGGATAAAATTAGATGAAACTACTAGCAATATTTCTCATTGATTTTTCTTTCAATGAAAAAGTCCATCGGCTCAAGTTAGATCCCTATAAGCTCATGACGTACTCAATTCGATCAAGATTTTTCATCAAAAACAAAAAAATTTTGAAGAATCGACTCCAAATTGACTTGATAAGTCAACTCTGAGGGTAGTTCAGTGGTCAGGTTTTGAATTTGCTTCCCAATAAACACCAGTTCTAATATTCTCAAGGTCATTGAGGTGAGTATTCAGTTGTAAACTTCAGGATTTCGTGGGATTAGTTAAGGTGCGCGTAAATTGGTTCGCACTGACGGACCCGCATAGGGTCATGTGAGGTCAAATGACCTCACAGTTTTTTGGATTTTTTTCCTTACTTAAAACGTGATTTTCTGCCAAAGTAGTGAGACAACCCAATTAATTTTCCTAATCCAATGCCCAAAAAGCCCAAACCCAAATCTTATTGTAGTAGCATATGATCTTATTTTCGTTAATGATATGTTGTTTGAAAAAAAATTTCAATTTTGACCTCACATTTCAAACTGTCTGGATCTGCCCCTGCTAGTCCGGACACCTACAGTCATTAAAAAAAAAAAAAAAAGAATTGAGCTTGGCAAGTCCGAATTCTTGCCATCTTTTTTGTCGAGTTTGTTTAGGTTGATGAGGTAAGCCAGTCAGAATGTCGCTAATGGCGATCCAACCTAGAACAGGTCATTTGATGCTTTTACTACTCTAAGATTCCTCATGTGAGAACTTGAAAATAATTAAGATTTAAGATTATGATCTACATGGGCGTTTGCCTTCCATGGTCCACTTGACTATTATATCATTTGTGTCCTATGGTATTGAGACATTCATTTACTTTATGTCTGGCTAATATTTTCTTCAAATTTGTGTAGCAGAAAAATCAGGACATTAGATGGTCAAATTCACTTTAGAATGGGGTCAAAATTTATGTATACCACATTTCATAATGTTATTGAAAGAAAGCAAGGATAATGAAAATTTCTCGTGGCTCATGCTTCATTCATAATTTCATTAAAAATAAGGACCCGGGTTTATTTAGGGTTGGACAAAACTCCCAAACCGACCGAACCGAACTCGAACCGAACAGAACCGAACCCGACGGTTCTTCTCAAGTTAAATACCTGAACGAGTATTTGAATCAGGAACCGACGGGTATGGTTCGGTTCTAGGCCAAGACCCGAAGAACCGAATCTCCGTAATTTTTTTAATTAATTTATTTTAAATAAGTAAAATTATTTTATTTTTTCTAAATAAATTTGTTAACTAGTTAATTTAGTTCAAACCACAAAATATGATTTTCTTATTTCTAATATTCAGTTCAAAATCAACTTAATCAAATTGACCTCAATTTTATCCAAATCTGTTATTCTACTGTAGTGTCATTTCTACCGAATAGAATCGAATTAAAACTCTACAATATATCTCTTAATTATTTTGAACTCACTATCTTTCTCTTTCTGTGATTTTAATAATCAAATTTATGAAGAACTCAGTAAAGAGAAACGTGAAACACATAATATTGAACTACGTTATTTTGTAAGAGCTAATATTAAATATATTATTAATTAAATTAACGTAATTTTGTATATATTAAAAAATTTAATTATAATACGGAACCGAATGGAACCGAACTGGACCGAACCGAACCGAATGGAATCGAACCCGAACGGTTCCGTAATTAAATTTGGACCCGACGATTCCATTTACTAAATACCTGAAAATTTCGGATCGGTTCAGTTCTCGTTAGAACCGAACCGAACCGAACCATGTCCAGCCCTAGGTTTATTATTAGTTTGGATTTTGACATTTTTTATTATACGCGTAGATTTGTTGCATCACAACTTTTTCCCCCTCTTAAATAAGCGTGTATCGAATTTGCTAAAATTATTTGAAATGATGAAGAAAGTTTATGAGGGTGTTTGACATCTATCTTTATGGAAAAATGAATTTTAGAATAGTAAATTGATGGAGAATGTGTGGATGAAAAATAAGGAATTTTTTTTATTTACTTGTAATATTATTTTAATAAAAAATGTGTGGTTAAAAAAATAGAGAGAAAAATATATTTTGACAAAAATTAGAATCCAATGAAACCTATATATTAACAAAAAAAATGATATAATAAAAAAAAAAAAAGAGAAGAGAAAAGAGGAAAAGATGCAAAGAAGGATAAGAAGATCCAATAAGAATCTAAGCCATCGTTTGACCCTATTAATTTTCATTCTATTAGTACATTTTATTTTTTTCTATTCTATTTTTAATTATACAATTTTCTATAAAATAATATTACACATAAATAAAAAAATTTCCTTCTTATTCACCAACATATTTTTCAAAAAAATACTATTCCACTTTTTATTATTTTCATAGGGCTGTCGGGGACTAAATTTGATTGGTGATATCTCTCCACCACGACTCTTCTTTCGTCTGCTCGCCACATGACGAAAGCGCTTATTTAAACAACATTGACCTCTGTCCAATCATTACACGCCACGTCAGACCATCTAAAACACGTCCAGGTTCAATGAACCTGGAAAGGCCTCCCCCTTCTCTTCATTTCCACCTATTTATACGTTCTTTCTCTTTCATTCTTAAACATTGCTAACAAATTTAAGATTTCAAACACAAGAATTCTCCAAAACCCATAAACCAATCTGTTGTTTTTCTTCTTTAAGGTTTCAGATTTTGCAGATAGACACAGAAAATTGTTTATAATAATGGCTTTGTCTTTCACTCCTTCATCAGCAGTTCATGGCTCTTCTTTATATTCTTCCTTTGAACAGCCGAAAGGTACCATTTTTGTCTTAATGGGTTTTAATTTTTTGAGTTTTGAGGTTCATCTTGTTTCTAAATATAATTTATTTTTTCAGCAGCACAATTTGGTTCATCTCAGCCATTAGATAGGTTTAATCTCTCATCAGCTGCTGTGAAACTTTCGAGGCGGCGTTGCGCCATTAAGCCATTGAATGCCGAGCCAAAGAGAAATGATTCAATTGTTCCCTCAGCAGCAACTATCTTTGCTCCAGGTACATAGGATTTTCATTAGCTAATTTCTGCAGATGGATGAGGTTTTGTAAAGTAGGATTTTTTGGTAATGTGAAGTGACAGATTTGCCCTTGTGTTTTCTTGGAATTTGCAGAAGTTGTTGAGAAAGTAGAGGAAGAGGACTATGAAAAATTGGCCAAGGAGCTTGAAAATGCTTCCCCTCTTGCGATTATGGACAAGGCCCTTGAGAAATTTGGGAATGATATTGCAATTGCTTTTAGGTAAATTTCACGATTATTACTTATTTTTGATCAATAAGTGTTCTTAAATTGTCAAATGTTGTAATTGTGAATTGGATAAGTTGTTTATGTGATTAGTCAATAATTAAGATAATCCTTGTTTAAAGCACGTTGTTGTGCTTATAAGTAATTACATTTAAGTTGCTTTTTTTGCCAAACAAGATTTCAAAATTTCCTTTTCTGTAAAGTAAGTGTAAAGTTCGAGATTCTTGCGTGTTATCTTGCATGTAAATGTATAGGACTACGAGACTATAAAATTCAGTATCAGTCCGTTTATTTTATTGAGGAAGACATAGCATTGTATCGAGTACAGTGGATTTGTATGGAGCTCTTCGATCGGAATGGAAACAAGTACAAGAAAATTTTTAATATAATAAGGTTATCTATTGTTGTAAGTATGTGTTATTTGAATTTATTTACCTTAATGTGAAGTATCAAACATAATAATTCACTCCTTGTTGTATTGAGCTTATTGTCAGAAATGTTTTTCCAGTATATCAATTAGGTACAGACAGTCTGAGATTTTCTATGTAGAAATTTTGCACAATCTAAAAGCTAGCATTTTAATTGGACATGAAGTTGCTGAAAATATTATGATGAAATATTTTTATGTTTAATTATTACAGCGGTGCTGAGGATGTTGCCTTGATTGAATATGCGCGTTTAACTGGACGGCCATTTAGAGTTTTCAGCTTGGACACTGGGAGGTTGAACCCTGAGACGTATAAATTCTTTGATGAAGTTGAGAAACACTATGGTATTCGCATCGAATACATGTTTCCCGATGCTGTTGAAGTTCAGGCTTTGGTAAGGAGCAAGGGACTTTTCTCGTTTTATGAAGATGGCCACCAGGAGTGCTGCCGAGTAAGGAAGGTTAGGCCGCTGAGAAGGGCCCTCAAGGGGTTGCGTGCATGGATAACTGGGCAGCGGAAGGATCAATCCCCCGGTACTCGGTTGGAAGTCCCGGTTGTCCAGGTGGACCCTGTTTTTGAGGGAATGGACGGTGGGGTTGGAAGCTTGGTGAAGTTTAACCCTGTGGCAAATGTGAAGGGCGATGATGTTTGGAAGTTCCTTCGGACCATGAATGTGCCTGTGAACTCGTTGCATGCCAAAGGGTACATCTCGATTGGATGCGAACCGTGCACTCGACCGGTCCTACCTGGGCAACACGAGAGAGAAGGAAGGTGGTGGTGGGAGGATTCCAAGGCCAAGGAATGTGGACTGCATAAAGGCAATATTAAGGAGGAAATTTTAAACGGCAATGGGAACGGTGCTGCTAATGCAAATGGAAATGCTACCAACACAGATCTTTTGGTCAACGAGAATGTTATGAACTTGAGTCGTCCCGGAATTGAGAATTTATTGAAACTGGAAAATAGGAGGGAGCCTTGGGTTGTCGTGCTTTATGCACCTTGGTGCCAATTTTGCCAGGTAAATGCCTCCTTTCATGATAAAAATTATGCTGCTCGTTTATCTCGTGGATAAGGCTTCATTCTTAACAATGTTCATTGATTCTTGACAGGCAATGGAAGGTTCATACATTGAATTGGCCGAGAAGTTGGCTGGATCTGGTATTAAGGTGGGAAAATTCAGGGCAGACGGGGAGGAGAAGGCATTTGCTCAGCAAGAATTGCAGTTGGGGAGCTTCCCTACTATACTTTTCTTCCCTAAGCATTCAGCGCGTCCCATAAAATATCCCTCCGAGAAGAGAGACGTTGACTCACTGCTGGCTTTTGTGAGTGCCCTCCGATGAAGGCATCGGAGATTAGCTTTAGAGGGAATCATGAATCCGTGATTCGAATACATTCTCTAATACAGATAAAAGGGGACTTCCAAAAATCAGAGGACAATTCCCTGGCAAATTGATGTTCTTCTCCAGTTACAGCATTTGTTTTACTATCACATTGTCGTCCTTCCTGCATACAATATTTATGTATTTCTTTCTTTTTTCCCCCTCTATGGAAGTTGATTATCGAAGGGCCTCAATTTTGTAAGTTTTGTTATGCATTTGAAATAATTATTTGTATCTTGTATTCCCCATCCAGTGTTAAGCCAGGTTTTATTCTTATTCTCATCTTGGTTTAAAGCTATTGTTAATAAAGAGGGAAAACATACCGGCTTTCATATTACAGATCTCCGGGTTTTTTCTTTTACAAACTCGAATCCAGATCATTGAGGTGTTAAAGCTTTAGTTTATCATTTGAGTTTAACTTGTAATTTAAGTTGATCAAACTTTAATTTTAACTATATATTTCGTAAGATCAACTACTTCTTAATTGTTAATAGCTCAATTCTTTCAATTTATAATTTTAACAACTTATGAACAATATCCAAAGAAACTTAAAATAATACAACAGATGTTGAATGAATAAATAATTACAATCATTTGGACCTATACATAATAAATGAAATATTGAAATTAGTCAAATATACTCGGTAAGACTTGACATCCCTCAGCGTGAGAGATTTTCTCATTCTATGGAACCAACATTACAACTAAAAATGGTAGCTATCAATTACAATATTCATTAATTGTAACCTTTTAAATATGGTAGATTTCCTTATATCCCCCTCTAGTTGATGTTTGTAAAAGTATAAATTTGCAATTATGAACAGACGGCAATGACAATGCTTGTGCCTATAAAGAAGAGATCCAAATCACAGTAACTATCTGCAAAAAATAGTGACGAGAAACCCAACAATAATAAATAGTGCAGAAATAGACAAGAATCACTTCAAGAACATTCCAAAGCCACTCCAAAGAGCTCATACCTCAAGAAAAATTTTCAAAAGAAATTTACGAAATATGCCTACCATATACAATGAGCTCTATCAATTGGGAGAACTTAGTCAAACAAATAATTCGTATTCCAATAAAAGCTCTAATGGCCAATGCATCGACCAAAACCCAACAATATATCGCTAGACAAGAGGCTGCAATTAGAAGAAATCTCACTGAACAGCTTACACCAAAAACTCAAAAATGATCTTCCTCTGAGAACTCAAAACCACTCAGAGATGATCCTCATTTGAGAATTTTAAACCTAACTCATCATCCGAAAGCCAAACCACAACTAGAAACATTTTCACAACTACCAAGAAAATTCCTTTAGTATCCAGACCATTTTAAGACAACTTCCCATATCTTTCCCACCATACGCAACCCGTTGATTTTGGAGTCAAAGCCAAATACCAGAGAAAAATATTCGAGAATTACACAGTCCCCAAAAAAATTTCAATAACAGCATAATTACGCAACATCAATTTATTTTCCATGCACTGAAATTCTTAGCATCTTCAAGTGTTTTAGATGATCCATCGATATGACCCCCAAGCTCCTTTCATTAAAAAAAAAATAAAAAATAAAAATCTTGAATTAAAATTTCCATTTGGGATAATTCTTCCACCGATATGGTCCTTTATTGTAAGCAAATCAAACCACAATCCAAAGGCCACACAAAATTAGCCACGGAAGTTCAGCCCACAAAGAGAAACCACAATTTTCAGCCCATCAACAAAAATGACCTAAACCAAACCCTTGAACTACCAGAATACTTTACAACCTATAAAATAGCCCACAATTCCGGTCTTCGACTTTTATTACACGCACCAGACAGCCCAACTTCACTAACACACAGAGGCCCAATCTCTATCCACATATATAAACCACATTCCTCTAAAATAGACCCACTAAACCCATTAGGCCAAACCCAAAACTCAGTTCGTCCTCTCTCTAAGCCTCTGCGCTGTCCGTCTCTACCCTCTACTAGCTATCAATTACAATATTCATTATTGACGACCTATTAAATATGGTAACTTTTTTTATATTCCACTAACAAAATTGTCTTTAGTCTAAAGAGATATATCTATTCAAAAAGGACATAATCGGAGAAGGCATGCATGCATGTATTAAAGGAGAACTTTCGAACTAAAACAGTTTCTATAATACACCTATAACATGTTGCGCTAGGATTCATAGAGGATATTTCACCATAATCTAATTTCGATTTTGAACACTTTTCATGTTTTAAGCCGCTCATTTTCTATCTTAATTTCTCATTCCCTTGAAAATGATTTTGAGCAAACAATTGAACTTTCCTAATAGAATGATTAGCCCTTTCAATAATTGGTCACAATTAGTCAAAATAAACTTTCATTAACCAATTTTCTAATAGGATTTACACTTAACACGCTCTCGTAAGATGGCAACTCATTATAAAACACAAATCTTGGAATTCAATTGCTCAGTTGAGTTTTAGACCAATCGAACTTCTCATTTGAGCTCATTGCATTTCAATACTATATTGAATTTTGTAGTTCTGGATTATAGGGTTAACATTTTTTAAAGTGAAACAGCCCAAACCTTGAATTTGGAATCTGATTCTGAACGAGTGCTATAGGATGATCTCAAAACAAGTGTTGTAAAATGCCCTCCTAACTAATAGTGAAAATCACGAAAAGAAATACGGCTTGGTGAAGATGTGGACTATCTGAGAAGTTTTAGGTGGAAGCAAGAAATGAATGTCTTTAATTATTATCCAAAAAATAAAATTTACTTTTCAAACGACAGAATTTTTATATATTAGTTTTTCATAAATTCAGCTTGATATTAAATTTTGTTACAAGTTATATTCTCTACACCTTTAGCTAACAATCTTTTGTGGAAGTCAAGTGAAAATTGAAAACAAAAGTAAAAACAACCCTCGGTAGTAACATGTAAAACAAAAGTAGTATTGATTTATTACATTATTAGAATAATTTTGCTGGGTTAACAAGGATTCAAAAATCCCGCCCGCACCCTTTATTACGGAAAATGCTTTGAAGTTCATACTTCATAGGCATGTGTTTTCAATTCAATTGTTCAAGGATTCCTTCTTAACACCAGACTTGTTCAGGCCAGGGGCGGAGCCAGGATTTATGTTCAGTGCGGGCATCATTTTTCGACGCCGAACTTCGAGGTTTTGGTCATAGATTTAATGATGATAAAAAATTAAAACAATATTACAACAACACTAAAAACGACATAATTTATATATTAAACTTATTCCTTGCGAGTTTTCATATTTTGATATCATCGTACAATAACTTCATTATCGAGTTTCAAAAATATCTCTCTCTACAAAAACAATAGTGCTATCATTCATCCACTGATCACCCATCCGATTGCGCAATCTATTCTTTACGATGTTCATTGCAGAAAAAACTCTCTCCACAGTAGCGGTAGCAACCGGTAAAATCAATGCTAAAGTCAAAAGTCTGTAAACCAATGGATATACCTTATCTTTCTTTGTCAAAACCAACTTCTCCGCAAGATCACCAAGGCCATTCAACCCTTCAAACTCTTTGTTAGAGCGCATATCCAAAATATAAGTTTCAAGTTGATCGCTAAGTACAATGCCCTCTACTGCAGAGAAATCTAATGGATAAAGCTCAACAAGTCTAATTAAGATTTTCTTGTCAAAAGAAGAAAATGAATCTTGTGGGCATAAACAAGCTACACAAAGGAGTAACTCTGTATTTACTTCCGAGAAACGATCATTCAATTCTTGAAGTTGTAAATCGATGACAGAGTAGAACAAATCTACTCGATAATGATGTAAATTTGTAATTTCTGGAGAATTACGCTGAGGGCGACCACAAATTGCAAGGCATACAAACATATCATCCATGTTGGGTACATGAATGTAATGTTGTTGACAAAAAGA